AGGAGAGACATCATATTATCAAGCACAGCCCAGGGAAGGTAGGATATATTAGGTCAAGGTAACCTTAATTTGACCAGACGTCATACACACAGAGTTCATCACTGCACCGCATTATTTGCAGGGTGCATCGTGCACCCTGTGTACCAAACACTGGACAGATCCTGCGGGGAAAACATATCCAGTAATGACACAATAACAGATTGCATCGTCATGCCTACATACACAGGGGCAGAAGCAGGATTACACAGGCAATCTTCACTCTGGTATGTCATAACTGCTCTGCAGTTATAAACACTTAGCAGCCGTAACAATGTTCCTTAGGTGTCTAGAACACTTGTCATTTCCTAACTTTTTACAAAAGCAAGACAAAAAAAGGAAAACATCTATTTAAGCTGTATCGTTACCATTTATCCAATTCAGTAGCAGAATGAACTTGCATGTTCAGCTCACAAGCCCCTACACCACTTGAATGAATAAATACCATGAACTGACATGATAAGCAGCACGTGATATCCCACACGGACCAATGCCAGATGCACGGCTAGTAAATTTCGCAGCTAGCTGCTGACACCAGAATAAAAGCAAGTCTTGACCCACCTCAGGCCCAAGGGAGATGCCACTCAGCAGCCACATCCTGTAATGCCCACTTCCCCCACACTTAACAGCTTCTGCCCTATATGCACCACCTTCCACTTCTCCAAACTCTGCTGCTGCTCCTTCCCTCACTCTGCACAAATGACAGGCTCCTCTTTGTGCCTCCCTGCTCAGCCAAATCTTAATCTCATGGTGAGGCTTTATAGAGTAGAAATTCAACAACCAGATGCAAAGATCTGGTCTCTGGCTTCCTGAAACATGGGTCAAGAGGTTGAGCAAGTACGCTGGAAGTATTATTATACTCTTGGCTTGTCCCCACATTTTCCTCGACAGCTGCTTTGACCACTGTCTGAGTCAGGATACCAGGCTAGGCGCAATTTGATCTAATCTAGTGCAGTTCCTCTTACATCTAAACCCCAGCCTTGCACATCCCCGCACCTATTTCCTCTTTGCCCAACCTACAACAGTTCTGCCCTCCAATCTCTCCCCTTACTAACCTCACTCCCAGATGAAATATGACTTTAGACAACAGTATCAAAGAAGTACCTGCTGATCACATGCAAACACCAATTTCTTTTTCTCAAATGTTTGGAACTTGTCCAAATGATTTTAGATTATTGATGGGGGGGGGGGGAGGAATAGCCTCTGACCTAGACTTTCACTCTTGAAAAAAATCAGAACCCAGCTGTACAATGCCAGAACTTAAAAGAACACATTGAAGACAGTTTTAAATAGTTTACATGAAGAAAATGCTATTTTTTCTCATAGTTGCTCACACCAAAGACCAAAGAAGGCAGCTGATTGTGTCCAGAATACACTGCCTAAAACAGACGCCTGGAAAATAAACTCTCATGCCAAACAGTTACGAAGTTTAATAGAGCTATAAGCAGTTGAAAAAAAGCATCTCCTGGTAGGAAGTGTCAAGCTGTCTTAAGAGTCACACAGGACATAGGCATAAAACAGATGCATCACGCCATCTATTACCTACTCCTGCTGTAACTCATATATATAAATTCACCTGGTGTAGGACAATAGCATGCCCAAACCACTGCTCTAAAGAGAGGGGCATAGTATAGGGAGCACTGGTTAAACATTTTGCTTTTGCAATTTTTTCAGTAAACATTCCTCTCCTTCTCACACAAAACCGAGAAAGTTATGGCCCTGCTTTCCCTTCTTTTAAATATTTACACTTTTCAAAGATGCAAAGAACACTTTGTTTAGGGACAGAGGGAAGATTTTAATGGTTACGTGAAAATTCTAAGTTTGCAAAATGTTTATTCCCTTAAGTAAATACCCATCCCATTAAGCTAATGATCAAAACTCATAAAAAGGGCAACTATACTTCCCAAGAAGGATTTTGGGGAAGAGTGGCAAGGGGAGAACTACTTTGTTTGATAGTCCAAAAACCTTCTTTTTTTTGGTAAAAAAATAAAAAAAGCAAACCTTTTCAGATAATTCCTTTCCACCATCCCCAAGTCCCACAGAAAAAAAAAAACACGCTACTACAAGTATTGAAGGTCTAGATTTCTACACGCCTGCTGTTTGTTACCTGGAGGGAGCCAGTGAGACTGCTGAAGAAATCAAGCACTGTTCATCAGAAAAACGTCAGAACTGAGTCCCTGACACTGTGTAACAACACTGGGCATGCCAAGCAACGCTAAATGGCATTTTTGTCATGCATTAACATTCAAAATAAATGTAAATCTCGCATTTAGTTGTACTAGAAGCTTTACAATGCTGCAAAAACATGTAAAATATTTCTAATCTTCTTAATAGGTATAAAAGATTTCAAGGTAGATTATGCTTCCCTACTATCAAACCTACTTAAAATTAAGCTTTAAGACTCCGGTTTTCTTCATCTCTTTGTTAACCCAAAAAGCAAATCTAGTACTTGTATGAAATAAGGATTAACCGGCAAAATGAAAGCTTGATTGTTTGGTGACAAAGCCATAATTTTTTGGTGTTCAGTGATATGATACCTTAAGATAACATGTTCCAAGAAAATATCAGAAGACAACACACTCCTAAAACAGTAAAATGAGAAAGGCAAGACTGCAAGGTCTCCAGGACAAATATCAGTGTTGTATCTCCGTGTTGTATGTTTGTGCACCATCTAAGACACACAGTCTCAACAGGGAACCACAAGCTGTATAACAATGAAATCACTAAGCAGCAACAGTCTTAAGAGACTAAAACTACAGACCAGGTCATTCAGTCCACTCCCCAAATATTGCCAGTTTGCTTCCAGTTGCGCACTCCAAGGGATAAAGCAAAATCTTGAAATACGTAAGCAGAATCACTGTGCAAAAACGTTTCAGGGTCAGTACCACAGAAATACTCCAGGTGCAAACGCTGTCACTAGAGCTCTGTCCATCTGTTGTGATAACTGCCCTGCTTCTTACGCTTTCCCCAAGACAAATGATTGTGCCAGTCTGCACAATGATTTTGTGACATGGACAGTCACAGCAGGAAAAAGTCTATTTTTAGATCTCATCCTCCATCTGCTCACATACCATTTTGCTTGGATATCAAGTCTCCGCTCACAATCTCTCTTCCACACTGAGTCTTACTATAGTCATCTCATTTGTAGGCCAAGGTAGCTCTGGAAAACATCTCTATAAGCAAATGGCTAGACAAATAATGTGCTGTGCTGTTCAAATTAAGAATTTATATGTGATCCTAGAAAAAGCTTTCTTACTGGAGATAGTAAACTAATATGCTTATAAAGGGTCACATGTAACTCACCCTATGAGCATAAACAGCTGGCTTTTACAGGCAATCTAGAGCCTTCCCCTGGTGAAATAATGAAAACCTTTAAAATACAATTGCTTCACTCTCACATGCAACACTGACAAGCCAGCTCAGACTTGGAAAGAATCATGAAATACTCTATGTATAATACTCCATGTGTAATACTCCAGAAGCATGAAATACCCCACAACTACCTCAAAAGGTATTAAGATGAGCACTCTAAAACTTGGGCCATTTTTGGAAACCAAGGCCACTGTATATGTTTACTCCAAGTTGCAAGAGAACACAGCAATCAGGCTCCTGGAGCTGCCAAATGCAGACTTATAGAAAATACCAGGACATTTTTAATGTCTCACCTTTACATGTCTCACCAGTCAGACACGTAGAAGCATGAAATAAAAAGACAGTGTGATTCATGGGAAAGCCCAAACAAACAATCTGCTGCTGAATAGGAGCATGCTTCAGGCTCTACCACTGTACACCTATGCCATTCACTGCCAGCTAACAGAGCAGTACAAACACTGCCAGCACTCCTTTTGCAGATGGTAATACGTTATTACAGCTAGACGACACCTTGCTTCCAAGTACACCTTGTACAAGAACTCCTACCCCCTGAACAGACCTCCTGTTAATGCATCACACAAAATCCCTGTAGTAAATACAAACACAGCCTGCTTGGCAGTACATCAACAAAGCATTTAGGACATACCTGTGACCAGCTCAGCAGTGGAAATTATGAGGAGGGAGTCCCTGTTGTGCAGGCAGCTTCCTAATTTTACCACCAACCAAAAGGCGCATTTACCACCTTTGTAAAGGGTAAACAGGGGTCATGCAGATACAGTCAAACTTTTTTTTCCCCCATGGCATGGGTCTTGCAGAAACACTAAATTAATTTCAAGCTTCTATAAATTCCTGAGCTCAAGTGCTCCTGTCAAAAGCTCTTTGCAAGATTCCAGCTCCATTTGTTTGGAGTGACATCTATTACATTATGCTGTCAAGCATCAGACCACAGTCAACACTTGAGATACATTGAATTAGGTCCAGCAGAGACACATGCTGGTATGGAAAACACTAACAGAAGCTGCAAGTTTGCCCGAGTAACACAATTACTTTGAGAAGAGGTCACCACCTTACTTACCCCACCAAAAGAGCTAGTTTCTCTACTTAACATCAGGATTTCCCACCATAATAAAAAAAACCAAAAAACTAAATGAGAAATACAAGCACTGACAATTTAACCAAATTTAAAGGGAAAAATAAGCAAACAAAAAACCTGCCCCCATTCAAATGAAACATTCTAGTAAACAGTGGATATATTAAAAGCTACAAAAAAAAAGCAGCATAATTGCAGATCAGGCCAGAACAGTATGTCTTGGCTTACTAGTTCTAGTAGCGTCAACATAGTTAATCTATTTGATTAATCTCCCACCAGTACAGCTCCTATCCATCTGATGACACGGCAATTTGAAAGAAACCTCACTTGCACTTTCACAAATATGGGAAGTCTTCATGGGAACTGCAGACTCAACATAAAAAGGGAAGCTCCTTTTAAAAGATGTCATTTCAGGAAAACACACAACACCTACACATATCCAGCATTACATCAACATCTACTGCATCGTCTGAAGAAATAACAACAAAAAAATCCGTATTACCTGCAGCATCAGTTCACAGTCATCTCTGCCAACAAATATCATCTCCCGAGGGAGCCGATGGCGAATGCCAGTGCTGCTCACCAAGAACCACGAAGTCACACTCATTTTGGCGCTTGACACTTAATCTTTATGCATCCTAAACACAAAAAGACGTAACAAACAGTGAGCTATTAATGAAGCCTCGACGTACGCCAGTGCATAGCTGCAGTTCCCAAATTTCCCTACACCACAGGACCCAGCACTGACACTTGCACTTTGTGTTCATGTCTTAAATTTCTTGCTGCAATCAGCAGTTGTGAAGTGTGCCAGTATCTGCTGCCCATGTGCCACATGCAGGAGCTCTGCAGCCCTGAAAATATTCCCACAGCATGTAAGACTAAGGATCTGAAGAAAGGATTCTTTAAAAAAAAGAAACATGCAGCTGAATCCAATCAATGAAATGATAAATATGCTGGGGAGGGGAAAAAAAAAAAAAAAAAAAAGACCTCTTTTCCAGAACATTTCCTTGTCGCTATCACTGTGCACACAGATCACAGCTTGAGCTTCCACCATCATCAAAGATCTGGACCAGCACATCATTAAGGTGATACAACCAGGCTCCTCTAACCTTTCACAGTACACTCCCAGGCGCGGTTACACGAGTGCTGGGTGGAGAACAGCCTCTTTTATTGCTCATCCCACTTCCACACTGATGTAAGTCGGGAGCCCACAGATCCTTCCTTCCTTCCTGCCTGCCTCCCTCCCTTCCTCACTGCTTGAGCTGGTCGAAGAACCAACCCCCGGACAGGAAACATGGGCTGCAGTCCCCACCGGAGGGTTTTGGTAGCATTGCCCCTCTTTGCCCCGCAACACGCAGAAGAATGGGCAGCTATAACCTGCGCGGGCAGCAGCGGCGGGCAGCGCTTATCGGAACACTCCCAGCCACACCTGTTTGTTGTGGCTGCTACAGCCCGGCTGCAGGCAGCCTGCTCCCGTGGCCTCGCCTCCTCCCCCTCCCACAACATTGCCTTTTCCTCTCCCTGGGTGGAGGAAAATGGAGTGTCACACATCAGGCTCTCGCCTTCCCCTCACCCACCTCCCTGGATCCAAGTTGCATTCCTAAATGCACCGAGGGAAGATCTCCATTTTATCTGGGCTGCGCGGCGCTCACAGCCTGACCGCCCGCCTTCCCCTCCGCAGCAGCCCCGGGCAGGCGCAGGTGACACCAGCCGGGAGGACGACAGACCTCCCCCGGCAAGGCGCAGGCCTGGAGGAATGAGAAGAGACCGCTCTGGGAGCCGGCGGTACGGGCTTCCGTGCCCGTGTCACGACGTGCGAGCGGCCCCGACACACCGCTCCCGCCGCCTCCCCGACAAAGCCCCCGGGGGGAGGGGAGTCGGGAGCCACCGGCCGAGCCCCTTAGCCGGCTGCAAGGGCCGGTTCCTTCCCCTGCCGGGCCCCTCTCGCTGCTGACGGGAGGTAAGGGAAGAGAGGAAGGGCGAGCAGCCGGAACCGCCTAAGGGCCGCAGCGAGCCAGGTGTGGCGCGGAATCCCCACTCCCCGCAGCCGCCACCGTCGAGCGAGCGAGCGAGCGCGCGAGCGCGGCCCTTTATCTGCCGGGGCCCGACTCCCTCTCAGACACCCTCCCGCCGCCCTACCTGCTGCGGCCTCTGCGCGGTGGCAGGCCGGACGCCGCGCCCCGCCAGCCGGCTCTGCCTGCCCCGCGGGCCGCTCCCGGCGCCCGCCCCGCCCCCGCGCGGCAGGTTCCCGACGTCAGGAGGCGGCTCCAGCCGCTGGGCCCGGCCGCTGCCCCACCGCCCCCTTCACCGCGGCCCTGCCCCGCCCTGCGCGGCTCCGGCGGTGCCCGATGCTGGCCCCCCCTGAGCGGCAGGTGTGGCAGCTCCCGACAGGGTTTGTGGTTCAGCACCCCTCATCGCAGGCTTTGGGAGGGGCTCTCCGAACACAACTGTCCCCGACCTCGGGAGGCCTTACAGGCAACCTCTCCGTCGTGGGGGCAGGAGATGCTGCTGCTGCTAGCCACGGGAGCTAGCCCCGGTGCCAGCCTCTTCTACTCGCAACAGGGCTTCAGGAAGTAGCTTGACATCCATCTCCACTTACACACCTCAGGTCCTCTTGCAGCGCAGTACCTAAAGGCAGTCAACAGGACTGAATTAATCTCGAGGACCTGGCTTTCGACTAGGAGCCTGAAATAGGTGCTGTGAAAAGGTGTGCCATTTTATGGGTTCTATTTAGTTGTAGGTAACCAGAAAACTTCTGAAGTGCAGGGACCAATGACCACTCTTTTTTCCCCATAGGGAGAAAGACTGAGTGTTATAGTAATGGATCCAACTATTTGCTGATGCAAGAACTTTTTCAAGAGAGCTTTCAGCTCAGGCAGAAATCAGTGGAGCTGGAAAGAAGCAGAAGTTTTGCATTGGCTCTCTTGTTCCAGCTGTCATAGACTGCTAACAAAATACTATAGGAAGACAGCAAGTTCATATAGATATTTCTCCAGGCCCATACTGCAGCTGGAAAGCTGCCTTTGCATTTTATGCTGTATATTCAGTGTTGAACAGACTTTCTCAGTCACCTGCGGGAGCTCCCTTTTGTGTCTTCAGTACACTCATTTAGAATTTTGGCTCAGGATATAGCCTTAATGAAGTCTGATGTCATTTGAAACCATAGGTCCAGTATGCCACTCACTGGGGACAGTCCATCACTCCACAGGCTCACTCCTGGACTACAGTCTTACTGGAAAGCTGAGGAACCAAGGATGGTGTATTCAGCAAGCTGCAGCAGACTGTGAGGAGGGAAGAAAAACAGCATTTCTTCTTTTGCCTCCTCTTTCTGAAGAGCAGTAGGACTTTGTTATTATTTAAATAATAGTTTAATTCCTTCTTTAATAAACATTTGACTTGTTCCTGGCAAATACATCATGCTCCAGGGTGATTTCAAGGTGTCATTATCTTCAAAGGCTTTAAAGCTGGCTGAGGCTGCAGCATCCGTGTTTTATTGGTATCTCCCTGGAGCCGAGCACCACACCCTTGCAGCATGCCATGTCCCTTGGATGCCAGGCAGGAGGAAGGAATAAGCAGCCACCGCTTCTGGGGCACTTTGAGGGCTTTTGCATTGTGCACTGCCATGAAGTAGTAGAAATACTTTTTAAGTAAAAAAGGACTTTGCCCATATTTGCCAGATAGTCCTGTCATTGAGTGATGGTTTATTATTGATTGAACTGACCTATAGCTTAAGTTTTTATAAATAGTATTCATTTACTCACTTTTTTTCTGAGCTACAGCTAGTTACTGGAGAGGCTGCCCTATAAGCCAATCTGTAGAGCATCTCTATACCAGTGAGAGGAAGTAGGTAATTTACTTCTTTATACAAGCCTGCCATCTAGGCAAATCTTTGTTATAAGTTACTATAAAAAGGTTACTGTTTGCTTTAGTCTCTCCTTAAGCCCGTTTTTACCATTCATTTATACATGTGTATTAACTGAGCAGTCACTTGCTATGTATAAAGAAGAAAAATCGTTCTTGTTCCTACCACGTCTTCTGATCTAACTGAAGATGCAGCTTAGGCCAATACTCTGGGCCATGCTGAATGTTGCATTACAGCCTCTTTATGTTATTCCAGTGATCTAAAAGGAATAAAAATTAGTCCTTCCTTCTCTCTCCTCGCCCCTCCCAATATAGTGTGCAAGCATCAGGGGCTACAGTATAGCCTGATACTACATTGTCATCTTTTGAGTCCCAGACAGAGAACATGCCTGTGGGAAACAGAAGCTGTAGTTCAGTTTTTACTTTTCCTGTTGGAACAAACCCTTTTCGTAGCAACTGCAACCTTTGGGCTGCTCAAAAACACAGGCTGACCAAGCACACAGTTGCTTTTGAAAATATGATATTATAGAAGTGTCTTAAAATCATCTCTTCCCACTGGGAGAAGGGAAGACCTGGGAAAGGTCTCAGGAAGCTGAGTGCAGCCGCAGCAGCACAATGCTGCTCATGCTAAGTCTGTGACAGAAGGTGCTTATCATACAAATCTCTCTACATTCATCTACAGTGCTGTCACCTTCAAGTACAAGGGTCATGGCCACAGCTGTATTAACCTGCATGACCCAGGTGTTAGGAGTTTCACTTTACTGTGCATTGTGGAAATGTAGGGTAAGGATCAGTTCCTGTCATGAAATACCATATTCCCAGCAAACAAGGAGATTGAAGGTGAGATGCAGAAGGATAACAGCAGGTCACAGGGCTATAGGAAATCCAGATTTCCTGTATCCAGAACTGTTGCCCCTGCCCATGGCAAGGAGGTTGGAACTAGATGATCTTAAGGTCCTTTCTAATCCTAACTGTTCTACGATACTATAAATCAAGTCCTCTACTCTACTGAAATACCTTTTTTCTGACAGCCTGAATCCATAGCCATCACAACTTGCAGCAGAATTGCTTTAGATCCCTGCTTTAAAACAAAAATCCCACCATCCCCAGAGGAACTAAACTAAATCAAGCTCTTTCTGCCAGGCTCTGATGTATGGGAGGTTTTTGACAGAGTTCCCAAACATGAACTGTCTTGCTGCATCTTGCTGCAGAGCAGGCTTCTGTTCCAGGTTGATCATAGCCTGATCCAGATATCCTATGTGGCTTCCCCCTGAAAGGCAGTATTCCCTGTGCATGAACTAAGGGAAAGAAATATTTTTGGTTATTGCTTACATATTGACATGATGAGTAACTTATAAATAAAGGTCTGCAGGACTGCTAGGTGAGCTCTCCCCAGTTAACCCATCACAGGCTGGCTGAAATCCAGTATGCACAGCTGCATGTACATATATTAACAGGCACGTGTGCAGCTCATGAATTCCTGGCTGCTTTGCATCAAAGAGGCTGTAGAAGTAGTCATCAGACGCTGTTCCCCAAGATTATTTCATTTGTTCTTTGCTAATGTACTTTTAGATGCATCAGGAGTGGTTCACAAGAGGTCACATAGGATTTCTTAACCCCCTTCTTCACTTGGATGGATTTTGCTTCCTGGCGATGACTTTCTTTCCCAGAAAGCCAAAATTGCAGCCAGGCCAGTTCTTCGGGCCTTGCTGCAGGGAACTATGCACTCCTGGCTTGTGCCTACAGTGCTCTCACTTTGGATCAGGATTTCTGCCTTGATTTTTAATGGCAGCAGGAAAGATCTGTGGACTTTTGCAAGGTCTGCAGGTCTGAACCTGTGTCCTTTTTACAGCTAATGGGCTTGTTGGCTGCCAACAGAAAGTGCAGGATCAAGCCCTTTCCTATAGAGCCTGAGACCAAACCTTTTCAACACTAGTTCTGGGTATCAGCACAAGCTGGATCATCATAAAATGAAGATAATCCCCCTTTTGGATATTGCTCTTTTTAAATGCTGTTTTGCAAATCTTTCCCTTAATTGTTTGCTTGTTTTTTTCTTGTTGGTTGATTGATTTTTAAATGACCAGGTAATTGTCAAGAACATGGGTATTTATCTTAATTTTAGCTAGGCTGATGTAACAACATTGCTGAACTGAGTTTGGACCAGCAAAAGCCATTTGCCTCTCCTCTCTGTCTAGGCATCAATCTTTTGTTTTGCCCGATATCTCAGTTGCGCTGCTTGCCAACATTCCCATCTCCTGTAGAGCTGGGAACAGGCCCCAACCCTGCCTAGTCAACTGGAAAACAGTAACACCATTCATGTGCACGGTTATTCACTGGCATAAATGTTTGCAGAGGTACAGTCCGGCTGGGACAGGCCCCTGTCATTTGGATGGTTCTAGAAGATGGCTTTTTACAATACTAGTATTTTTAACCCATTTATTAGCTAGCTATAGGGACAGAGTAGCTGGAGCATGGTAGCATTGCTCCAGACAGCTTCAGTTTGGCATCCTTGGTTTGTACCAGCTGGAGAATTTTTCCTGTATTTTTCTTTTTTTACCCACAACACAGTGCTATGCACCAACATGAAATTTAATTTTACTACTGTGGAATTCACTGAAATAAAACCCTGTATGTGTTAACACTTCTTTTCAGAATGTGCAATATGGGC